GGGAGCACTTTATTCACGTTTATTGCACCTGCAAACACACACACAAACAGCCGCAGCCCCCCCAGGGGAGCCCTGCCCGGGAACAGCCCGGCCGGGCGAGGAGCACCACGCCCGTGTCCAGCCCAACGTGCCCCGCTGCCCCCCAAAGCCCTCCGGCCACCCCGAGCCCCGAACCCCCCCACGGGAACCTCCCGCCCGCTCCCCCGAGACAAAGCCCCTCGGAGCCCCCAGACCCCGCCCGGGGGAAGCCCCGGCGGCCGCGGCAGCCGCTGCCGGTCCCTGCCCAGCCCGAGCGGCTCCCGGGACTCGGCCCCGCCGCTGCCCGACCCGACCCGGCACAGCCTCGGCCCGGGGCCGCCTCGGGGCGCCCCGGAGGCTCCGGCCCCAACCCCGGCAGGGCTCCCGGCCCCAACCCCGGCAGGGCTCCCGGCCCCGCGGCCCCTCACCTGCTCCGGACTCCGCCGCCGCTGCCCCCGCGTGGAGCGGAGACCCCACAAAGAAGCCCAGACCTGAGAAAGGAGTGGCTCCGTCGCTGCCGAGGCTTTTCTGGCCCTGGCCCCGGCCCCGGCCCCGCCCCGGCCCCGCCCCGCACCTGCTGCTCGTTCCGGGCCCCGCCCGCCCCGCACCTGCTGCTCGTTACCGGCACCGGCACCTCCTCACCGGCCCCGCCCCTGCTCGCCCCGCCCGCCCCGGGACCGGCCCGTTCCCTGCCCGTTCCGCCCCCCACCGGCCCCACCCCGGGACCGGCCCGGCCCCTTCCGAACCCCCGCGGCAGCCGCACCCCCCGGCACAACCGTGCGGGGCTTGGCCCGGCAATCGGGGCCACTCCCACCGCTCCCCGTCCCGACCCCCGAACACTGAGGGACCCCGATCTCTTTGAGGGAGCCTCGAGTCAAGTGTTGACTGAAATAATCGATCCAGAGCACGGTTTTCCATCGCCAAGTGCTCCTGAACTCAGAGTTCAAATGTGGCACAGAATGGAGTCAGTCTCTTCTCCACCTTCGCTGAGAACAGACAGGGTGCCCGGTCTTTAATCCCGCAGCCGAGGTTGTTTTCCTCCTTGTGTCCAAGCCGGCCTGGCTCGTGGCACAGTTCTAACACAGCAGTGCCAGCACGGGGCATTTCAGACCAGACAGTGCCCAACCTCTGGCTGGGCCGCTGGATTTGTGCTGGGCACCCCCACGGCTCGGGAACACACTGCTCCAAACACACCCTCTGTCCAGCAGATGCCTGTGGTTACAAAACTTCCACTGCATAAACCCCTTCCCCTCAGAAGGACTCAGTGCTATCACTGTCACGGTCCCCCCAAAAATAAACAGCTTATCCAAATTTCCCAGTCATTTCTCTATGGAACAGGCCCAGCATCCCAGCAGTCCCTGTGCCCTTCCACGGAAGGGAGCCTGGTTTGGACTCTCCTGCTACCCCTGCCCTAGGAAGCAATGCTGGGTCCCGGCTCCTCTCCGAGGTTTTTGGCACTGTCGGACTCTCCGTGTGGTTCGGTTGCTCAGTTCGGAGCCGCTCCCCACAGCGCTGGCCCGGACGGCCCCGGGACCCCCGGACCCGCAGCGCCCCCCTGGCGGCGCCGTCTGGCGGACACGGCCGGTACTGCAGGGAACAGTTATTGGCGTCGCCGTCTGGCGGACACGGCCGGTACTGCAGATAACAACTATTGGCACGCTGAGTTTGTAATTATTTATTTTCTCCCTTCGGGCATAAAACAGTGAGAACAGGACACTGTCACCTCTTGCGCTGGCAGGATTTGGTCCCAGGCTGCAGCTCACCATCAGTGCTGGGCACTGCGAACCAGCTGCACAAATGCCCATTCCTCCCTGACAGTTCTCTGCTGGAGAAACCATGGTTTTCCTGGTCTTTGGTCCTCGATCTCTTTCCCCCTGCCGTCACGAGCAGCATCTGGAGCAGATTTTCATTACCATCAATTAAAACTTCAAATTTGTGGGCGGGGGAGGGGGGGGGCGCGGGGAAGGGAATAGACTGGGGGTTTTGCCTTAAAAACCACCTCTGCCTTCAGCTCAAGGATCTGGTATGTGGGGTCACAGCTTGTCTCGAAGGGCGCCGTCTGGCGGACACGGCCGGTACTGCAGGGCACATTCCATGGCACGCTGAGTTTGTTAATTATTTATTTTCCCCTTCCGGGCATAAAGCAGTGAGAAAAGGACACTGTCACCTCTTACGCTGGCAGGATTTGGTCACAGGCTTCAGCTCACCATCAGTGCTGGGCACTGGGAACCAGCTGCACAAACGCACACGCCTCTGTGACAGTTCTCTGCTGGAGAAACCATGATTTTTCTGGTCTTTGATCCCAGCTCTCCTTCCCTCTGCGGCCACAAGCAGCATATGGAGCAGATTTTCACCACCATCAATTAAAACTCCATATTGGGGGGGGTGGGAAGGGAATAAATTGGGGGTTCTGACTTAAAAACCACCTCTGCCTTCAGCCCAAGGATCTGGTCTGAGGGGACACAGCTGGTCTCGAGGGGAGTGCACAGTGCATGGGGAGGCTGAGCAGATTAGTGGACTGGGACTCACTGCACCGGTTGGGTTTCCATCCCTCCATACCTCTGTATTTGCTTCCCTCTCATCAATTCCCTAGGCAGGACCCACGAGGATCATTTCAGCTGGATCTTCTCCTCTTCCCAGGCTTAGCTTTGGACCTTAGAAGACGACAACATTATGTATTTTCATTTTTCAAGGGAGAAAGGGAAAGCTTCACTCTAAGGAGACCCCACAGAGACCCCACATGGACGGAGACCTGGAGATACGGGCAGGCTCTGGGGTGGAGGGCTGGCTGCTCTCATCCCAGCACACCACCAGTTTTCCCAGTTTTCCCAGTTCTCCAGTGCCACACACAGCACCTACCGCCCCTTCTGCTGCCAGCCCCAGGCTCTCCCAGAAACCCTCAGGCACACATGGGTGTGACACCCGGACATCCGTCATTCCAGGTGGGAGTCACCCTGACCCAACACTAGTGCCACACGGTCATGGCAGAGCAGGGCACCCATCGGGCCACCACCCCCTCACAGAGCTGCTGTTCCCACCCGGAGAAGGTTTGATGTGCTGGCATCCAAAAAAAAGAGCGGCTCCTTCCTCAGTAAATGATCCTGACCACACATGGTGGGATTCATGGAATGCTTTCCCTGGCACATCTACTCTTGCTTTGTGCCCACCGTCCATCACAGACACCGATGTCCCATAGCCACACATCCCAGTTTTCCCGAGTTAATGATTAAAACCTGCTGGGTTTCAGAGGCGCTGCACCCAGACCCCGGCAGGCAGGCCAAGGATGCTTGCCCTCTGGGATTAATCATTCTCCTGGCTGTTGACACTGTATCCATATAAAAACTGGGATGGGATTCCCAGTGCCTCTTCCCAGCAGGAGGAGGAGGGAAGCCAGCCCAACATGAGGGCAGCTGTGGCCCTGCTGCTGCTCCTGGCCACCGCACATGCAGCACACCGAGGTAAGGGCTGGGGTTTGCTGTGCCCTGGGACGAGGGGTATGGTGCTGAGGTCCTCAGTTCTGGTGGTTTTTGGTGGCCTCCCCTCTGCCCAGCCCATTCCCAAACCTCTGTGAAGGATCAGAGAGGAAAGGGAAGCACAGGGGTGATGGTTTGGTAATTAGGATGCCTCTTTGGGGTGATGCTGGAGGAGATGGGAGGGGGAGAGGTTGGGCTGGGGTGGGAGGAGGAGAGGACAGAGCCACAGGGATCAACTCCTTCCCTTCCCAAGGGAAAATGGGATTTCCTCATCCTCATTCAGAAGTAGCATTTCCCTGTAAAACTCACCCCTCAGTGGAAACGATGCCCTGTGCTGCCCTTTACTCCCTTCTCAGCTCCACAGGGAATCACCCTTCTACCCCAAAAAAACCCTAAAACTTACTTCTCCCACATGGCTTTATGGAAGTGAACAGAAATGCAGTGAGTTGGGACCAACAGCCACTGTTCCTGTGAGGAAAGGGACCTGCCTTTTCCACAGCTTCCCCTTTCTGGCAAACTCCCCCCTCACCCTTCCCTTCCCTTCCCACTGGAGCGATGTGACCCTTGGTGTCATGGCCCACAGCCCCTGGGTTTTGTGGGAGTGACCCTGCTCCACACTGTAATCCCAGGAAACTCTGGTATCAGTGTTTACCCTGCTGGTGCCAAAGTCTGACCCACAAATGTCTGTAGCACAAATCGATTGGTTTTTTCCAGGGACGTTGCTGGGATATCTTCACTCCTGGCTGCTCTGTGGGGCTGGCTCCAGAACTCCCAACCCCTATGGTTTCCAAACCCTGCCCCAAAAACCAATTCCACATATTCCAAACTAAAAAAAATTGCTGTATGTCTTACCTGTAGCTCTCCCAGTTTCAGGGAGGGTTCTCTCCCTACCCTTTTCCTCGGCTGCAGAGCCAAACCAGCAGCCTGGATACCAGGGATGCTTCTCCCTGACCAGCTGTGCCAGCATCTCCCCAGGGACCACCAAATCCTACTTGGAAAAAGAAGCAACGGAGGGACAAAATAAAGAATCCTCAAGAGAAGAAAGCACTGTGTTCCGTGGGTAGTGGGGCAGCCCTCACTCCCTGCTCACAATTCCCCCTTTTCCTGCACTTACAGGTAAAGCTTATGTCCGGGAGAAAGTCTGCCACGAGTACAGGATGCTGGGGAAGGAGAACTTCCGAACCCTGTAGGTACCTCCTGCTGTCAGTGCAGCTTGGCTCAGCACCTGAGCTAAGAACAAAAATACATTAAATAAAAATAATCTTGGAAGGTGGATTCACTCCCTGCAAACAGGAGTGAAGAGTTTAACGGGCGTTTGCTTCATTGCCGAGCTCCTCAAAGCCAATTAGGTGCCTAAATAATTAGGAATTCTAACAGAGCTAGTACATAATCCCTTGCAAGGGGCAGCCTCCAGCCTGGAACCTGTTCCAGTGTTTTCCTGGCTGTTTTCCAAGGAATACGCTGCTATTTCTCACAGCACCACAGCCGACGGTGCTAAACCCTGTTTGGGCAGAATGAGGCTGTGATATGAGTTTCGCTTTAAGAGAGAGGAACGTGCCACCTGCTCACCTTGTCCTTGCCCCCTTCTCCCAGGACCATCCTCACCAGCAGCCAGAAATACTCCAACGGCACCTTCGAGGAGATCAGCCACCTTGTCCAGGCAATCGTGTCCCTGGCTGAGACCTGCTGTGCCGACGGTGCCCACCCCTCCTGCTACGATGCGGGGGTGAGGCTGACCAAAAGCGGGTGATGGGCCCCAAACCAGGGGTGGGGTGAGATGGGGATGTGGTGCGTGGCCATAACCCCTTGTCCCTCCCGCAGTCCTCGGCCCTGTCGGTCAAGTCCTGCAGCGCGGACTCGCCGTTCCCGGCGCATCCCGGCACGGCCGAGTGCTGCACCCACGAGGGGTTGGAGCGCAAGCTGTGCCTGGCAGCCCTGCGGCACCCGCCCCAGCCGCTGCCCCGCTACCTCCAGCCCTCCGACCAGGAGCTCTGCCAGGCCTTCCAGAAGGACCCCCGGGAATTTGCAGACAGGTAAGCCCCGATAAGGATGGCGCCCGGTTGAGCCCAGGTGGGTGTTGTCACTGGCTGGGGCCATGATCCAGCAGCTCGGGGTGGTACCTGGAGAGGGCTCCCATCCCTGGAGAAGAGTGACACCTCCAAACCCTACGTGTCCCGCTCCCAATCTCCCGATCCCGGTGTGCCGGGTCTCCTCATCCCGCCCCTGCCGCAGGTATCTGTACGAGTACGCCAGCAGCTACAGCCAGGCACCCCTGCCTGTGCTCCTGGGCTCCACCAGGACCTTCCTCTCCATGGTCTCCACCTGCTGCATCTCCCCTGCACCCACCGCCTGCTTCCTGAAGGAGGTGAGACCCCTCAGACCTCTGGGCTCATCCCCATCCTCGCTTCCTGGGAAGCCAGGTGAGCCCTGTGCTGATGATCTGGGAAGAGGAGGACATATCCCTCTTCTTTTTGTGGCAGAAACTGCAAAGAAAAACCCTCTCCCTCCTCACCTTGACCTCAAACCGGGCTTGCTCCCGCTTCTCGGCGTACGGGAAGGACAAAGTCACCTTCAGGTATGGGGGAAATGGCCTTTCCATCCTGGAACAAGTGCTGGGCTGGCAGCGCGTTCCCCTTTCCCACTGCAGATCCCATTTGCGGGCAGCATTCACAGAGACAAGCTTTAACTCCCGTGTAAATCCCTGATGATGCTCCATGCACAGCACGGGCACGGAGTGAGCCCTGTGCTCCCCATCACCTCCCTCCCACACCCCTGCTGGGAGCTGCTACCTGGAAGGGAGATCCAAGCCCCCTGAGCCCCCCCAACACCCTGTGCTCCCCAGTTACCTGGCCTCGCTGGCCCAGAAGGTGCCCACCGCTTCCTTCGAGGACCTTTTCCCCCTGGCCGAAGGTGCTGCCGAGGTGCTTTCCCAGTGCTGCGACTCGGTGGCTGAGGACTGCATGCAGAAGAAGGTAGGGGGGAGCCCGGAACCCACCCCAAAACCACCTCCCGAGCCCCAGGAGGGGCCCAGAGAACACGCCCCATCGCGGCAGGGGGCTCACACACCCTCTGCTCCCCTCTCTGCAGCTGTCGGAGCACACGGCCAAAGCCTGTGCCACACTGTCGGCCCAGGACGGACGCTTTGCCAGCTGCTGCAGGGGGAAAAACCTGATGGAAAACTATTTCTGCATCCTGGCCTTGCCCCCAGCGCCTGCCCCCAAACTGCCGGAGGCACCGGAGCCGACCAACAAGGAACTGTGTGGCAAGGACGGGGGTGTCCAGGCCACCAGGCAAGTGCTATCCAGGTTACAATCATGGAATAAAACCATTCAGGTTGGACAAGACCCCTGAGGTCCAGCCGTTTCCTCATCCTTCCTCCTCCCCTTGGTTATATGGTTTGGTAATTACGGGGTTAATCCTCAATTCCCTCAGAGGCATCAACCCCAGGGGCTGCACAAAGATGCCAAAAGCAGCCCCCACCCCATTCTGAGCAGCACCCACAATAAAAGCCCACGTGGCCCCTCGTTCCAGGTCCCTGTTCGAGCTGGCACGGAGGCACCCCAGCCTCCCTGAGGCTATCCTTGCCAAGCTCTATGATGCCTCGGAGAAAATCCGGGGGGAATGCTGCTCAGCCAAGGACCCCTCTGCCTGCCTGGACAGCAAAGTAAGTGGTGGAGGGGTCTGTGGGTGCTCATCCTGCTCCCCCTCATCCCTGCACCCCCCCTAGATCCCTGCAGGGGCTTTTCCCAGCCTGGTGACACCCATCCTCTGCCCGCAGCACCAGTGGATGGGAGCAGAGCTGCCCCCCGTCCTGGAAACGGCCAGCCAGCTCTGTGAGCAGTACACCAAGCTCTATTTCCTTGATTTCAAGAAGAGGTAAGCCTTTTCTGCACCCTCCCTCCCAAAAAAACCCACCTGCATCGGGGGATGCAATCAAAATTCATCCAAGACGTTGAGGATGCGCAAATGGAGCCGGTGGGTTTGAGCCTAAATAGCAACAAAATAGTGGGAAGCTCATAACACCACCCCCCCCACGCCATCCACGGGTGCACCTCCCCTCTCCAAATGCTGTATGGGTATGGAATGCTGCTGGATTCCCACTAACACCCTGTTCCCTGTGCCACAGGCTGCGGGAGAGCCTGACGCAGGCGTTTCCCGAGGCCAGCACGGAGCTGCTGGAGCAGCTGCTGGAGCAGCGAGTCTCCTTCGCCTCCACCTGCTGCTCCTCGGATGCACCTCCACTCCTTTGTGCTTCCAAGGTACAGCCACAGACCTCCCTACAGCCTGGGGGGTGTGCCAGACCCCACGCCCGGGGCTGCCCCTCTGCCCTTCTCCCCTTTTCCAGGTGAGCTCGGAGCTGGGAGAGGTGTGCAAGCAGGAGCCCTGCCTCCTGGGATAGGGGCTCAGAGGGAGCAGCCGCTGGATCGCTTCTCCAGGCACGCGTGGATGGAGTGGGATGGCAAGGCTGATGAGCTCTGTGGACACACAGGAACGTGGCACTTCATAAGGGGACTGGGCTGGAGGATGCCCAGCAGACAGAAGGTGCCCCCAAGCCCACAGTTCCCTGCCCACCCACCAGCAACACCACCCTTGTATTCCTGCAGCCAAAATAAAGATGAAAACAGTCCCCTCACCGCTGCTGGAAAGGCTTTCTGCACGCCCGGGGTGATGGGAAGGGCTGGGAATGGCCACTGTTGAGCTTCTACAGGCAGGAAGAGGCCCCAGCTCCAGTCCTGGGAGCTAATGCTCTAAAAAATTAAGCAAAACCAACAAAAACACCCATTCCAAAATATTAATTTCCAATTATTCACATTTTTATTAATAATAACAACATTCTATTTCTTTCCAGTTAATAAGTTGTGGTTTATCCTGTTCTGTTGGGTGAGTGACCCAACTCAACTGCCATTCAAAACAAAACAGTACAAACCACAAAAATTCCCTTGATAAAACCAGCAGACTCCTGGGAAAGCCTGGGCTGCTCCTGTTTGATTCCAGCCATCATTGATTCCCAAGGGATTCCCTCCAGTCCTTGCCAGCCCGGGCATAAGTCACTTGGCTTTTCCACTCTCTGTTGCAGTGGAGCTTTTTATTTGGTTTTTATATTAATTTTGTTTACCAGGTCCCCTTCCTCCTACCCTCAGTATTTTTATCCCACCAGCTCTCTAACCCATTCCCAAAGATCTGAAGGAAGCAGCAAAATCCCTGACTTTCTTTTGGTTTGTTATGTTTTTTTTAAATCTCCATCCTTGTTGCTCAGTGCAACCCTTCCCATCCCAGTCTTTCTGCTCCCCACCAAAGTACCAGGGTACAGCAGGAATTTAGCAGCAACGCAGGAATTCCAGGGTGGGAGCAGCATCACTACAACCTTCCATCCAGGGAATGCAGGGCTGAGATGGGAAAAGCCTGACAGGAATTACTCGAGGCCCTGAAAACCCAGCACCGAATAAAATGTCTCCAACATTTACCTGGCCAATGCTCCATAAAAGCATTTAAAAAAAGATTGAAAGTATTAGTTTTATCCACCTCTGAGACTTGCAGGCCTGCTTGCTTTCCCAGTGCCTGCTTTTCCCAGCTCCTTAAGGTTAGCAGCATCCCAGCCACCAACATCAACCACCCAAAAACCAGACAGGAAACAGAGTCTACCTCCTTTTAATTTTATTTCTCTTCTGGACTGCATACAGCAAAAGGAACAGCAAGTGTATTCCTCACAGCTGGAACCCCCACAGCCAGTCCCAGCAAAGCCTGGAGATAAACAGCCATTTATAGTGGGGGGGGAAACCAGCTCACAGGTGATGCTGGTGCCACTCAGCTCAGAGCCAGGGCTTCCAGCAGCTTTGTGGAATCCATAATCCATTTCCCTAGGGGATAATCTTGGAACCTGGTGAAGCAGGTGCTCAAAACCACGTCCCTCGGCACCTCGGGGCTGTGCTCCTTGACCGGGTGCTGGGATGAGCCTTTGCCACACTTTGGCACAGCCACCTGGCACTGCTTGGGCCACCAACGCCCCCAGAGGGACTGGCACCACTGGTGTGGTCATCGCTCCCTGTGTCCAGCCCGGCAGGAGTCACTGCCTGGGGCTGCAGGAATCCCAGGGTGCAATTTGAGCTGAAAAAGGAAGTTTTCAGTCACAGGAGGGTTTTGCGCCATCCTGGAGTCACCCCCTGGCCCCCATGGCAGCACCAAAAGCTGCCAGCTCTGGCTCCCAGGCATTCGCCTACAAGCGTGATGCTGGGCAGGGATGAAGGGCTTGAACGCCAGTGCAAACCAGTTCCTCCAGTTGTAGTTCCCACACTCACCAGTTCGAACTTTTCCTATCTCTGTCAGAGCCAGTGCCAGGCTGGAGAGGTCTATCCTGCTGGCAGCTGCTCTGGGAGAGACCTGGGCAGAGGCCTCTGCTGGGAGAACGGAGTCTGGTGGCAGGAGGGGTCATCAGCTCCCCTGGGAGACCCCCAGACCTTCTGCTCCCCAGTGTCCCAGTACTGGATGGGAGGTACAGCAGACAGAGCCCTCATGGTCAGTCACCAGGTCATGGTTCCCATGGCAGATGATCCCATGCTGGGAATTGGGAACTGCCAAGAAGCCCCAGCTCTGGGGGTGTGAGATAACAGGGATCCCCAGCCCCGCTGACTGAGATGCCACCGCTGCCCCCCAGGACGGGACCCCAGAGAGTTGGTGCCAAAACCCACCGTGAGAGTCACGGTGACCCACGGGAGGGGGTCCCACACCGAGAGGAAGGAAACAAACCGTCACCTGTGGCTGCCTGGGCAGGGTCCAGACTGTAGCCGGGCACTGGAGCCCGTGACGTGGAGAGATGGGAGCGAAAGGCCCCGGTTATCCCAGTTCTCACCTGTTTTCCCCCACTTTTGCCCAGTTTCCCTAGCCCGGTCACGCCATGGGACGCCGAGGCCGCCCCGGGCTACAGTGGGACCGGAGCCGCTCCACGGGAGCCCCGGAGAACCGGGAGCCCCGGCCCGGAGCGCTCCGGGGATGCTGAACTCGGCTCGATCCTTGCGGGGAGACGCGGCACCGGGAGCAGCGGCGGCACCGGGAGCCGGGTCCAGCACGGCGCCCGGGCCGCCCAGAACCGGACCCCGAGCCCGACAGAGCCCCCGGGACCGGGAGCGGGACTGGGAGCGGGATGGGACAGCACGTTCCGTGCCCCTCCCGTGCCCGGAGCGGGTTCCGCACGCAGAGCGGCAGCTCCGCGCCTGCCCCGCCCGGCTCAGTGTCGCCGTCTGGCGGACACGGTGAGGAACTGCAGCCCCCCGCCGGCCCCGGCCCCGCTGCCCATCAAGGACACTGGCGACACGCGGACACCTTTCCGACACCCCTTTATTCAAGCCGCCTGCACGGTTTAGCCCTCGCCCATCGAGCCAGCCGGTGCTGCAGCCCGGGACCCGCCCGCAGGTACCGGGAGCGCCTGCGGAGAGAGCGGAGCCCGTGGGCCTCAGCACCGGCCCCAGCGCGGGGGTCCGGTCGCACCGACTCGGTCACCGCCCGGCCCTGTGCACCTTCACGCGATGCCCGTCTCCCGCACGTCCTCGCTTCGGGAAGGTGAGTCCTTGTTCAGCGTCTCCATCTCTTCTGCCTTTCTCTTCCTACGCTGCCTCCGACAGTGGCTTGATAGGGTGGGAAAATAATAATAATAATAAAAAAAAAAAAAAAAAGGCAGAATGAGGCATAGTGGTCATGCTACTCCCTGTCCATTTCCTTTCACGTTGCAAAGGCTCCAACTGGGATCACATCTGGTTTTTAGCCTCAAAGGAATGTCCCAGGCACCTCCATGCACCCTCAGAGCCATATCCCACCTGGCTGGGGCAGCCCAAATTCGACTTGCCCGGAGCCAGCAGAGCTGGGCAGGATTTGTTACCAGTCTAGAGCTTCCTCTTCCTTCTTTCTCTTCCCTCTTTCCCTTCCCTTCCCTTCCCTTCCCTTCCCTTCCCTTCCC